TGGACGGCTGTCCTATTTATATGTTTCGAATTTAATAAAATAGACTATTGTCTTGGCCCGAGTGATGTCATTTTTTTTTGCTCTTTGCGACGAAGGAGACGCAAAACCCAACTTGATTGAATCTCTATTCTCGCGTAGCATGGTATGCGTGTTTTGTATATAATACGAAAAGCAAAAGCTCACATTGCGTTCTCAGTTGTAACCTTGTTAATAAATGTAATACGGATAAAATAATACTAAATTAATAAAATAAGATTATGAAAATAGAAATAAATAAAATAAATATGTGTGATAATAAAAATTAAGAATTTCGGAATTAGTTAAATTCGGCCAACAGAGCGTCCAAATCTAATTCCGGTAACAATAGTGATTAGAATGGATTCCTTATAACGATTTAAAAAATAAGGCAAGGAGGTTTGCATATGAATAGTAATAATTTATAGATATCGAGAATAATAAGATAGTTAAAATATTACGAGCAAATGAATTTTTGAAAGGGGTAATTATAGTTTATAAATGTAAAAAATATTCTAATTTATTAACTCTAATATATATTAAATAAAATTTATTATTATTTAATGGTATTTTAGTTCATATTGTTAAACTTATGGCTTAAGTAAAGATCCAGTAACAAAAGAATATTAATATGTTATGGTGTAAAATTTTAAATCAGAAAGATAAAATGTCAATTCTTTTATGGTTACAAGAAATTCATGAAAAAGATGAAATCTATATAATAGCATCAGACATTTATAGTTTTGGCTCATAATGCAATTAGCTGCAACTAGTCGCAATTAATTGAGAAGCCATCTTCACTCATGAATTTATATCAAAGTGGCTTATAGTTGCAATATGGATAAACAACCACCGCAAAAAAAAACATTCAACGTTATTTATGATAGTTTAATAAACATAGATCAAAATTTATGTCATTATGAAAAACTTGAACAATTAACTTCAATTAGGAAGTATTCGATGAATTGGATGAAATAAAATCTAATCCTTCAACAATTACAGCAAAAGGCTATGCTAAAACTCATTTTAGCAAAGTGTTTACTATTTGTACATTACTCTCCCTTTTAATTTGATTTCCATTTATATTAATATTCTCATTATTATTACATCTGTATCATTTCCATCTTGGTTTTCGTTGTTAATGATAATGAATCCCTCTTGACTATTATGTTTTCTTCAATATCATCATAGTCGAAGGTCTTTCTCTGATAATATTATATAAATATTTATCAACGGCTATAAAATTAAGTTCTTTATATGAAGTAATCATGTTTTAACTTCACATGTACACCATCATAATGCGCAAATGGACACGTCATCTATTGTGACTGCGCCACGGCCCGAAATCAAAAAAAAAATGCAAAAATAATTGAAGAATTTACTTGCCATAGTTCATTTTTTTCTATTTTTATTTTTTTATTCTTTAATTTTTAAAGAGATTTTACGAAAAACACAAGGACAACTGAATAGATTATTTTCATATTAGGAAGTGACACCCCCAGAAGTAGTTTTATACAGCAAAAGTCATCAACTATTATCAAATGGTATCTGCTTTTCACGTGCGATCAATTCAAAAAATAATTGCTAGATTTTTTATTTTAAACTTTCTATCAAAAACAATCTCAGATCATCTGAAAATTCTTCGTTCGTTAAATTGTTACAAAATTTTCGAATCAAATAAATACGTGTTTTATTGACAATCTTCACGGTTATTTAAATGTAGTAATTGTAATTAGAAAAAAATATCCGAAAATAAAAAATCCAAACATTGAAGAAATATATGAAAAAGCTTTGAAATATTTAAATATTGCGATTAATATAGAAAATTATACGTCAATTAGAAAGTTGAGCAGCCAAGTTCAAGATTTGTTGAATTGCTACAATTCATCAAAAGGTAAATAAATAATTTTTAAATATGATTATACATAATTTATTATTATTATGAATGAGCCAATTATTATAATATAGGATGTGTATGCGGAATTAATTATAGAAACGAATCCACTAAACTTAGAAATGAGTTTCAAAGGCTTGACTCTCTTTCAGAAAAAATTGCAATGGAAGTATATAAAATACAAGAAATTAAAATTTCATCGTGTAAAATAATTAAAGAAAAGGATTTAATTGACCTCAAAAAATCAGATACTGATTCTGTTCGTGGAAAAGTATTTAAAAAATTGTTTAAAGATAAAAGTTGCTTGTGTGCCATTTGACACACGGCTGTATGATTGAAAGCAACTTTGGCAATCTTAAGTGAATTACATTCATCAGATAGTATTATAATTTGATGGGGTACATATAGGAAATTTAAAATATGTATATGGAGAATAATAATAACTGATTCCTTGGAAAAAAAATTAAAGATCGCATATGAAATCTGCCTTCGGCTACAATTTTTGTATAAATGTAGATTTATTATCGTGATGTTAGATGCAAAAATATTTTGGTAAAAATCTTTATTTATTTATAATATAAAAATTATTATTATTATTTATGGACCAGATGTTGTGGTAGCAAAAATTGGCAATATCATCATTTAATATTCTGCTGAAATGATGTGACAACAGATGAAATTTTTGGCTTGACTAGGATCATTGTTTAAAATAATTACAAATTTGATCTGTTTAATTGAACAAACTCATTAATTTACAAATTAATAATTAACAATTTATCTAAAGCATCAATTGACAAACAATTTCTACTTTTGGTTTTTATTAAATTCTGTTCGGAGAATTCTCTTTCACTTGAATATGCCAGATAATTATTATCAACAAATGAAATTTCAACCACCTGGAAATTCTAATAAATCTCCTTTTGGGTGCAAACTTTTCTTTAAGTAGAAATTTTGTAGATATTAAGCGTGCAATATGAAAAACAAAAAATTGAAAAAATGTATCATTGGTGGCACCACAAAAAATGACCTACTCAGTTGAATGTGAAATTTTTAGGTTAGTAAAGATAAATTTTGCATATTGTTTTAATTAATTTTTATTCAATTTATTAATTAATTTATTAATTAAATAGTTTCTTTGGAAACTATCTTTTCAATAAGTTCCATATATTAATAAATTTAGTAGTGATTATGAAAAAAATTTTCAACATGTCTTGAATGACAAAAGAGAAGAGTTATGTTTTGAACAATGTTTTAAAGAAATAATTTCAATTGGTATTAATTTATGTTTACTATTTCTGAAATGATTATTATTTAAAAACTAAATATTTTGTTCTTTAATATAGCTTGGAATAATAAGCCTAATGAACATACTAAATTGGAAACTTTATACAATAAATATTATGTATCATCATTAATAAAAATGGAGCTGATGTTTTTGAAGAAGAGGATGATGATGATGATTGTAATGATTATAGTGAAGAATCATCAACAATGGTTATCTTAAAAAAAATTCCACAACTTTGGAGCATGGTATAATATTTCATAAGGAGAATACTCCAGATTCAAGAAAAAAAGCATGGAAATGTTTTGAATACCATGCAGATATTTTAATCAGTCCTCTAGCAAAGTATTGGAAATATTATTATTTAACACATGGATATGCTGGTGTTGATATAAATTTTGAAGAAGCACAAAAATTATTTAAAGAGGCAGCTGATGATGATATTGGTGAAGCACAATTTTTCTATGCAAAATCAATAAAAAAGAATGCTGATAATGATTTATCTATTGCTAAAGGATATGTTGAATATTTTGGAAATGGCTGCTATGTTTTATCTGGGAGATATTTATTATAATAGTAAATACAATGTTGAAATAGATAAAGACCAAGAAACATCTTGTTATGAAGAAGCTGTATTGCTGAAAAATAAAACATGAAAGTTTGGATTGACAGTGTATAGATCTTTATTGAATGTTTATATTGTATTTATTTGTTATTATTGTGTTTATATTATTTATTATTTATTATTAAATTAAAAAATTTTTAGAAATGAAACTCCTTGGAATTTATGAGAAAATTTGTTGGCAATGGAAATAAATAAAAAAAATTGAAATCTACTACTAACCAAAAAGATAAATTAAAAAACATAATAATAATCAAATAACACCACCACATAATTATTTAGTAAATTTAATTAGTTTTTCTTACTGCTACATTAATTATTACTAGAAGTGGTCGTAAATGCATTACCAGATATATTAGAACCTATAAATAGTTGGAATAATTAATTATTGATAATAAAAATAATTAATATTGGCAATAAATTAAAAATAATCACCTATATTATAAGAATCTTGGGTAATTCCGTAATTTGTAATTTCATTAATGTTAGACCGCCACAATGATTGAAATGATTGAGATAATTGGCATGAATCATTATTGCCTAGAATATTTAATGACATTTGATCCATTTCATCAAATTCTTTTCTAATTGAAATCAGTTTTTTAAGTTTTTCAGAATGACATAAGTTTTGATCTATATTTACTAAACTATTTTCAAGTGCATTGTACCAAGAAAAAATCTCATGAAATATTTCTTCAGCAATTGGACGATTGTCTGGGTCAGCATCCATGCATCTTCTTGCAAATTCAATATAAAATTTAGGTGTGTTATTTGAAAATTTTGGTCTTGATCCTTTAGAAACAGCCTCTTTTAAATTTCTAAAAGATACTTGACGTGAAAACTGTTCTGGATATTGTAGTTCTCCCATTGAGATTAATGACATCATAACTCCAAAGCTGTAAATATCAGATTTTGTTGTATAATTAAGTGCATTTTCTAATACTTCAGGCGCCATATAAAATATTATCCCAACTCTTCTTGGAAGATCTTGATTAATTAAATCTGATAAACCTAAATCTGAAATCAATGCTTCATTATTTTCATTTATTAAAATATTACCAGTATGAAAATCATGATGCTTAACATCATTTTTATGAAGTTCTTCTAAACCACTAGTAATATTAAAAAGTAATGATATTTTATCTTTCCATTTTAGAGTTTTATAATTGTTGGCTAAATAATTACGGAGACATCCATTTTCTGCATATTTCATGACCATACAATATTCATTTGTTTCCAAATCTCGTGTTACACCATAAATCTTGACAATATAAGGATAATGACGAAACTTGACACAATTTTTAAACTGAAAAATACTTTTAGTTAATTAATTTCATTAATATTTCTTTGTTATATTCTCAAAATATATTTACCTCCTTCATGAAGGTATCTAAATCAAATTCAGAATTTGACTTTTTCCCTAATGCTTTTAATGCTACAATTTTATCTCCACAGCATTTTTTATTATTTTCAATATCTATAAATTTTTTACCATTTACCCAAGTAGCTTTGTATATATCTGCAAAACCACCATGTCCTACTTTTTCAATATCTTTAAACTTATCATAAGGAATCCATTCTAAATAATCGCTATTATAAGATGTTGATTTAAGTTGTGTATTCTTAATTATCCCATCAATTACATCATCACCACTAGTCCAGCCTTCTGTTAATAAATAAGGGTCACATGATTGGCACCAAGAATAATTTGTATTATTTCTAGTACAAGTTGGACATTTACCATATTTCTTTTTTCTTTTAATTAAATAGTTATTGTATTTAAAAGGTCTTCTGACTTTAAGAATTCCCTTTAGTTGATTATCAGCAAATTCCAAAAGCTTTTTACTAGTTGGTCTTTTTGATGGATCCACATCCCAGCACCTCTGCATCATTTGCATATAATCTTCAGGCATTCCTGACAATATTGGTGGTCGTAAACCTTCACATATTTTTAATTTCAAAAAAAAATCATGTGCTTCATCATCGAATGGTGGATGGCCTGCAAATGTTTCCCACATTAACATCCCAACACTATAAATATCTGTTTCTTTTGTGTGTTTTTTCCCTTTAAATAATTCTGGTGCAACATATGATACAATTCCATAGTCTTTATTTGATGATTCATCATCAACTGGTCCACATAATCCTAAATCTGAGATATAACATTTACCTCCTTCCATAAGTATATTACCACTATTTAGGTCACAATGGATTAGATCTTTTTTATGTATATCATCTAATGCACTACATAAACATCTAAAAATTGTAATTCTATCCTTTAATGCTAAATTTAAATGATTTTCTTGTAAATAATCTCTTAAATTTCCCTCTGAAAGATAATTTAAAACTATTGCATAATTTCCACCATCTGGGAATTTAGTTATACCATAGCAAGGAGTAATCAGTGGTGATTTAATTCTACAATAATTCATTGCCTGAAATTGAATATAAAATCAATTAGTATTATATAGTACAGTATTGCTTATTTTTGTTTAAATAACAATTACCAACCTCATCAAAAAAGCCCTTTCCTGGGTTACTTGAATCATTTAAACTTTTTAATACTACATCTTTCACTCCAAGATAACTAAATTCCTTTTTATCTTCATCATAATCAACAATTATTCCTCTTCTCCATATACCAGTATAAATTGAACTAGATCCACTTTTAGTCAACATTTTTACTTCTTCAAATTGCTCAAAAGGTATCCATTCTAAAATATAGTTTGGCAGAGATGATTTCATTTGACATTGTTGAATAAAATCATCAATTATGTTATTTCCAGAAGTCCAAGTAGTGAAAAGACTCTGTAATTGTAAACTAATACAACCTTCACAGAATCTATCAGAATATTTTGTCAATTTACAGCTGTTACATTCTTTTGGTTTGCCCTGTTTATATGTTGCATTATTTAATTCAAACCAATAAATAAAATTTTCCTTACAAAATTCTTTTTCATTTTCAGAAAGCTCCTTGTTTTTTTGGACCAATGAAAAAAAATAATCCTTTATACTTTTTCTATCAGAATTAACATTAGCATTATTATGCATTTTGTTATAAATTTTATATACAAATTCCTTTCTTTCTTGTGGTAACAATGATAATAATTTATAAAATGACATTATAAAAAAATTTGACTTGGTGTTTTAATGAATAAAATGGAAAAATTTTTTTTGAAAATAATTTTGCGTGTAACAAACTATTTCCTCGTAATATTTATTTTGTTATAATGGCTTTTTTTGACAATCAAGTTTATTTAAGTTTTTCTTTGACAGGATTAATTGATAAAGAAAAAATTCAAGTATAAAATTGCATTATTTAAAGAACAACTTTATCATCACCAAACTCTAGTTATTGATTTATTGTGATTCAACAATAAAAGAATTTTAAATGAAAACTTACCAAAATCTGTACTATGTGCTATGTAAAGGTCATTCTACATACCAATATTGATCAGCCCATGTTGTTTCAAACTCAGGCACTCGAGCGCATTTTTATTTCATTAATAGTATTATTGTGTATTTTTATTACATTAACTTCAAAGTCAAAATTCGAAAAAAAATCAAGTTAGCACAACTCGTATGTATGTAAAGTTGCTCTACATACCAATATTGACCTACTTGTGTGTGTTTCGAACTTGGGCACTAAAGATAATTCAAACGCGTTTCGATTTTTTTCATTTTATGAAATGTAGTAATAGTCCTAATTTGTAAAACTTCACATGACAATTATTCTTCCTGCACCATTGTAATATACATACATACAACGATGTCGCAATCCAAAAAAGGATCGTAATATATAGTATTAGTATGATGTATCTGGTGATGCTTGCGCTACTCGACGTCTTGGATCTGCATGTGAACGTGCCAAACGACATTATCCTCATTGACACAGACCACCATTGAAGTTGACTCTTCGTTTGATGGAGTTGATTTTCAAGCAACTCTTACAAGAGCGAAATTTGAGAATTAATTTATCCATTATTCATGAAACCATAGAACCTGTACGTAAGGTATTAAAAGGTGAAAATGAGATTGTTTTGGTCGGTGGATCAACAAGAATTCCTAAAATCTAATCACTTTTTCGAGAATTTTTGATGGAAAAAAATTAAATAAATCAATTAATCCTGATGAAGCAATGGCATATGGTGCAGCGGTACAGACAGCTCTTCTCACAAATCAAGCCAACAGTGATAAAACACGAGATTTGTTGTTATTAGATATGGTACCTCTTAGCTTAGGAGTTGAGACACAAGGTGGTATCATGACCATAGTTATACATTCTAACACAACACACCAATCCCTACAATCAAAAAAAAAACCATTTACAACGGCTGAGGACAGACAAACGATTGTGGAATTTCCAGTGAAAGACCCATGTGTCGTGATAATCTTCTTGGATCATTTGAATTATCAGGAATTCACCAATGCCTCATGATGAGGCAAAGTTAGAGCGTACTTTTGATATTAATGCTGACGGTATTCTAAAGGTGACAACTAAAGATAAAGCAACTGGTCGTAAAGCAAATATTACTATTTCAAATTCTGCGGGTAGATTATCAACAACTGAAATCAAACATATGGTTGCTGAATCTAAGAAACTCAAAGAAGAAGATAAACAAAGTCAAGAACGTGTTGAAGCTAAACAAGAACTTGAAAATTATGTTTACCAGGTAATCAATTAGCTAGGATGCATTGATGAACAAACGAACAAATATTAATTCATTATTAATAATTGATATTTAGATTGAAAATACGCTTAATAAACCAAATGTTGCTTTGGAATTAAAACGCAACAATAAAGTAACAATTGAATCTGCATTATCAGGTTTATTTATTTCCTTTTTTTAAAAATTTTTTTTTATAACGGATGTTATAATGTCTTTTGCACTCCACCTCATCTTCCTGGTGGTCAGCTTACACCAATTGGAACGGCCTGGTATCTTTTCAAGACAGGGGGGGCATTAAAACTGATTTTACAGAGGATGAGCAATTTTTTTATCTTGTATCGTAAAATCTTAAGAATTTAAAAATTTAAATCTTTAATTATTATAAATATTATAAATAAAGTCAATGTAACTAATTACATGTATATTTTCGTTACGAGAATACTTGACCAAGAAACTAACTGAACTTTGTCCCGAATGCATCACAGATGTTTGGTTTTACACATGTAATGTAAATCACATCAAATTTATAAATAACACTAATAATAGGTTTTTATTTTGCTTTCTAAACAGAGGCTTTGAATGTCTTTGAGCTTAGTGTACAGTTGCGAGCAAGGAAGAAATAAGTCACTCGTGCGTTTGCTTCTCTTAATCTTTAAAAAATAAACAATGATAAATATGTACAATCTTTAGACAAGATATAATAAATTCATGTCTAATTCAGTAATTAAATTAACATTCATATAAAATAAAAGAATGGATTTATTAATAAAACAAGCCCGTCATAATATTTAGTGTGAAATTTACAATTTTTCTGATCGATCTAATGATCATCCAAAAAAATCTAGATGTGTTTTTTAGACTGCACCCACAGTTGAACTTATACCATGAACCAATTCAAACTCAACGTGGTAACGAAATATCTGAGAATCGCTAAGGGTCGTTCAATAAGTCCTTATCACTCCGAATATACAAAGGGTTAATATTTCCGAGTCATAAAGAAAGTCTATTATCTACAGTTTATTATAATTATCCAAATACTGACTTTTTTACACTTTAAAAAAGAATTTATACATTCCCTCTCCAAATCATCGCCACCATTTACCATTTTAAAACCACATTTGAATTACAAACATTTCGTATCTTCTAAAGTTGAAATTTCACAAAACATAATAAACCGTAATTTGAAAGATGTAAATATTAATTTGGTGGTTGATCTCTATGAAAAATCTTGTAGACTAACTACTGATTTAAACTCGCTTAAATCAAAACGTAATGAAGTTTCAAAATTGGCAAAATCATCAACTCAACAAGAACGTGAAAATATTTTACAACAAGGAAGAATGATAAAATCACAAATTTTAGAAAAAGAGGCATTATTATCAACTTTGGAGGAGGAATTGATGAGAGAAGCATTGAAAATTCCCAATGACACACATTCAGATGTGCCTATTGGTGGCGAGGAAAATGCTAGGATAATTAAAATATTTGATGAGCCGCCACTACCACCATCATCCTCCTCCATCATAAATAATAATGATGTTGATATTGATGTTAATAAAAATGGGGGTGGTAATGAACAATTAAAAAAAAAGAAAGATCACATAGAATTGGGTAATGAATTGGATATTATTGATTTTGAGACAGGGTCTAATGTTACAGGAAACCATTGGTATTATTTAAAGAATTCAGGGGTATTGTTGGAATTTGCTTTGATACAATTTGCTTTACAAAAAGCGATTGAAAAAGGATACATGCCTATTATTACACCTGATGTTGTAAGAAAAGATTTTAGTTATGCCTGTGGATTTCAACCACGAGAAAATGAATCTTCACAAAACTATTTTTTATCAACAGGCGAAGAAAACATTTCAACAAGTAACAATAATAATAATAGTGGTGGTAGCAGTAGTAAACATCAAAATCAATTAATGCTAGCAGCTACAGCTGAAATACCATTAGCAGGGATTTATTCCGATAAAATATTATTTTCAAAACAATTACCAAAAAAATTTGTAGGATTTTGCCATTCTTTTAGGTCAGAATCAGGTTCAAGAGGTAAAGAAACAAAAGGATTATACAGGGTGCATCAATTTAGTAAATTGGAATTATTTATATTTTCCAAACCTGAAGAAAGCGAGGAGATGTTTCAGGAAATTGTTGATTTGCAATCAAGTATTTATAAAGATTTAGGATTACCATTTAGAATCTTGGATATGCCAACATTTGAACTTGGAGCTAGTGCTTATAGGAAATATGATATAGAAACATGGATGCCAGGTAGATGTAAATGGGGAGAGGTAATGTGTCCAATATCTATTTATAAATTTTTAGATTCATTCATTCATTTGATTATTGGATAAACGAATTATTATTAATTACATTATTAGGTTTCATCAGCATCCAATTGCACAGATTATCAATCGCGTAGGCTAAATATAAGAATGAAACGTTCTATGTTAGCGTCAACAGAATTTGTACATACATTGAATGGAACAGCAATTGCAATACCGAGGATGATTATTTCAATTATTGAGAATTTTCAAACAAATGATGGAAAAGTTGTTATACCTAAAGTGTTGAGAAAATGGATGTATGATATGGAGGTTATTGATAAAAAATCTTGAAACTTTTAATTTGATCTAAATGTAGAAATTATTTCTTATAATGTGATACTTATAAAATATATCAAAAAGAAAGCAAGGTAATAATTTAACAGTACATAGTAGAAAAAAAAGATGAATATGTTGAATATCATTACTATTTGTTCAATCTCTTTGTTGGTAATGGTGAAGTAATGTTCTACAAGAATATTTCTTCTTTCATGACAAACATCAGATAGACTGTTTAATCATAGATCAGTTTTTTTCTGAAAGGGGTAATAAAAGTATTAATTAACTCCTAATATTTTCTTGATGGTTGCATAACAAGGTTGTTCACTACAAAATATATTGTTTAACTATAGATCTGTTTTTTTTTTTTTGAAAAAAAGAACAAAATTTAATTGACATAACATATTTGCTGTTTAATATATATGTTCAATTTAAGCTCTAGATTAGACGTAGATAATTAATTATTCAACAAATTTTTGACCATGCAAATTGTGAGAAATCTTTGTGTGATCAAATTTCTTCTATAACATGTAGACCTAGTTCTAACCAAATCAAGTACTCTGAAATATTACATATTTTACTACAAGTTGCACCTATAATAAATCATCTGATTTTTAGTCATATTGAGTGATCTAAAAAAACTTAACATCATATATTTTGCTTCTTTGTTGATGGACATTTTTGATCAAAAGAAGTTGCTTCTAATAAAAAATCAGCAAATATTTGGCCTAGATAATGCTCTCATACTTTCTTGATATTCAGTAGGACATCCCATGAAATATCTTACAATAAAAAATATTAATATTTCAATTTAACAACGGAAACATGTAAATTTGCAAAAAAAAATAGTATCTAACATTTAAATATACACATTGCAATTACTAATAATATATGTAGACATACACATCATACAGATCATAGGTGATGATGGGTTTTTGTTATTCTCTTTAGTTTATGAGTAATCAGAATATCAGGCGACAAATCATACTGGCCGAACTGAGATTTGATCGATTTGACCAGTAAGCTCTACTAATACATCAAATCATCAGCAATAAGTTCGTTTTAACCATTATACCTCTATCTAATGCTCAAGTAAAAAGAATACCTTCTCAACAAAATTTAATAAAAAATAAAACGAGAAATAGGATGAATATTGATACTTTGAGTAATCATTTAATGACATTATTAAATGAACCAGAAATAGAAGATTTTGATTTTGGCATATAAAGCATTGGGAAATAAGAAAATGAGAAAGAGCAGCTATGAATGTTAAAGAAATTATTACATATATTTTTATAAAATAATTTTTATTATGGTACTATGTTTTGGAATTGTCATGTCTAGAACATAATATTAAAACATTATCTTGTGCGAAAGACATAAAGTTGTGTTTATACAATAGACATAAACTTATGTTTAACACATAAAGTAGTGATAATGTGTTAAAGACATGGAATAGTGTAGATAACACAATCTTGTGTTGAAAGCGTTACTAATTAATTTAATTGTATATAAGAAGCTTGAATTCGACATACTTTAACTTTGTAACGAGTTAACTTAGAAATAAGTTAATAAATTAGCTTCAACTAAATAAATTAAACAAATATTTTCTTAAATCACTGTACAAATTATTTGCTAATCCACTTCATTCTGATCACATAATGTTCCCCCAAATAATAATTCTAATTAAAATTCGTCAAACCCTACCCTAACTGTTACACCTAAAGCAACTACCGTTTAAAAACTTCAATTATGCCTGTAATATATGATATGAATCAATATATACCAATTTTCAAAAAGTCTTTTTTATAAAATATTTTACCTTTATATGTAGATAGGTACCACTGTATTCTTGTTTACATAACTTTTAAAGTTTTAGGAATATTTTGACATAAAATAGCACGGAATCTTTTTAAGTTTTGAGCGAAAAAATATATCAAGTTTGGAACGGTCAATTATATTATTTATTAATGATCACGAATTTAATAAATTGGTCTTCATACTAATTTGATTTATTGATAAAAGAATTACGTAACTGTATAAAAATAAGAATCGAAAGAGAGGAATAATGGCATTAGATAGGCCAATTAAAGGCGAAATATATAAATATCCAATAAATATTGAAGAAAGGCCAATCAAGGGTGAAATATAGAAAGAAAAACTTTGTCATCAAGTATAACTGGTGATGACACGTCATTAGATATTAAATATATTTATAAAGGCTACACACGTTGGTTGGGATACTTGAATTTCATATAAATTTAATTAATCATAATTAATTAATTAATGTGTACGCGTCATCCAAATAGTAAATTTAAAATTCTTTCTTAAAAAATGCCAAATTATAAAAATAATCAGAAAAGAAAACAAGATCAAGAATTAATCGAAAGAAGCGGGAAGTGTTTATCATAAGAATGGTGGTTACCACCACTCGGCGTCACTCTAGTTTACATGGATTAAACTTTAAATTTCGGCTTTATTTTTAGGAAATCGAAAGTAAGTACTGGAAAAGCAAAACGTCTGAAAATCCTTAACACGAAGAATATTAATATTGGAGAAACCACTGTATTCGAGACTATTACAAATAAGAAAGAAAAAGCAAGCATCAAGGTATGTGCTAGATCACCATGAATGGTCAATAATATGAATTCCGTCATTTACTCGATGTTTACAGAAAGCAAAAGTCACAATTCGTCAATTAATGCATCCAGCATTTAACAAGCTCATTAATGGTGAAATTGATGATTTCATTAAACTTTTGAAATATTTCCTGCAAACAAGATCACTGAGATAATTTCTTTTCTTTTTTGGGATCATTCTTTGCTTATGCTGTTTCCATAAATAAAATTTCAGCTCTTTTTGTTAGCTGCTTTAACTAGAACATGATAATCAGGCTTGGGTCCGTTTCTGTTTGTAGTTTGCTGAACACAACCTGCACTTGCTTCGCTAGTTTCATCTCCCATATGAGAAAATTCAACACATTATCCAACTGAATAACATGAATAATCATTTTGAAATATGAATGTTTGATAAAACAATGGGCGTCCTCAGAAATTAAAATCTAAATAAATTTATCCTCAAAAATTAAATATTTAATTTAAAATTTTTGAAATGGAAAATAAAGGATATTTGAATTTATTTTGTAACTGTTTCAAATATTTGTAATTGTTTGGGACATTCATAATTATTTCAGATACTTGTATTTATTTTGAATATTCATAATCAGAAATTACAAATATTCAAATAGGGAGTAGGATTACAGTTAGGAACCCTACTCTGCAAAAAAACATTTTTTTTTTTAATTTGGTTTGTAAATCAGTTAATCTTCTTGATCAAATTTTTAATTTTTGAGACACTCAGAGTTATCCTTTTTTGTCACATTTGTCACTTTGTGACAATTTTGAAATTGTATAATAACAGAATTATTAGAACGTTTATTAAGAATTGACAATAAAAAACAATTACATTCCAAATAGTGAACAATTATTTGTTTGAGTAAGGAATAAGTCCAAACTTGTTAGAAATATTTATGAATCTCATATTCCTCTTCCAATTAGAATTGCATATTCCTACGGATAACATTAAATATAACGCATGTTTATGTTTATGTTTTATATCTTATTTTTTGAAAGATTGTTTCATATATCAATATACCTTTATCAACCATTTTATGAGTTGGTATTATTTTTTAAAAAATACTTGGAAAAGTGGAAAATACGAAGTGATTAAGTTTTTTTGATGTTTATTCAAATAAATCAATGACAAAATCTGATAAATCTGAAAGTAATAACAGTGTTGGGATTAGACCTAGAAGGAAAAAAGTTCCCACCAAATTTTTTTTTATTAATTAAAAAAATTAAAAAAAATATTATTATTTCCTTAATAATAATAACAATAACATTACATGATTTTGTTAAAAAGTAAACTATTAAAATTTTCTGTCAATATATATTATATTTTCTAAATTGATTATCTGATTGACAATAAAAAGGCTCTTGAAAGCATTTCTGTTTGTTTGACTCTGCCATTAAAGTCTAATATTTTGTTCTTTAAATTGTGAAATTTTACATTTAAAAATAAATATGAATAAATCAATATTACAATTGTAAAAATAAATTGGCTAATTAATCATTGTTCCTATCTGATTGATGCTTTACACTATTTTATGAAGATTGTTCTTTCTCTGTTTACGAAGTGATTTAAGATGTTTTTCTGTTATAGAGTCATTATATAAAGACTTTCTTCTATCAATCCTTCTATTTATTAAAAATTTCATTTTCCAATACCTTGGACCTTTTCCTTTAGTGTATAATATATTTTTAGAACCAGGATCTATATTATATTTAATCATATCTTGATTTAAACTTTCCAATTCTTCTTGTGACCCAAATTTTTTGTACAGTGGCTCTAGATAATAATATACAAATCTATCAGGCTTTATATTAAATTTCTTCATAAAATCATAAACTTTTTTTATATGATCAAATCTTTTTGCAATACCAAGACCTTGAATCAATACAGTCAAAATAACAACATCAGGTAGAATATTTTGTCTCATCATCTCAATAAAAATAGAAATTGCTTGATCTACTCTCTTTGATTTAATCAGTAAAGACATTACAGCTGTATAAGTATGAAGATCAAGTTTCAATCCACTTTTAATAAGATTTTCAATAATAACATAAGCTTTTTTAAAATTTGATGTTGAAGTTGCTAAAGAGATAATTGAAGTGTAGATAAAAAGATCAGGTTTTATTCCAGAAAAAACCATTTTATCAAAAAATTTCCAGGCTAGCTCAGATTGACCATTAAGGCTGTATTGACGTATAAAAGAATTAGAAGCAAACTTAGATATATGGATATTTCTTTTTTTCATTTCAATTAAAACATTTTTTGCACTTAATAGGTCATTTTTTTTGCAACAACCATCAATCAAAATTTCAAATGTAAATTGATTTGGTTCCACATTTTCTGACAACATTTCCATAAAAACTTTCTCAAGTTGAGTTGCAGTCACTTTAGGATCTCTAGAATAAGCATATAAAAGAGCATTAAAAGATTTAGTATTTGGAATGATACCTTTGGCTTTAATTATGTCAAATATTTTTCTTGAACCTTCAGAATCTGAAAGAGCAGCTTTGAGATAGATAAAAGAGACAAGTAGACGTCTATCTAATTGAATATTTTGTTCAACAATTTTCTGATAAATTTTAAAAGCATTTGTCAGATCATTATTTTGAAGATATGAATAGATTAAAGTTGTAAATAAAAATTTATCTATATCAATTCCAAAACCATCCATTTCTTTCAAAGTATATTTTATCATTGATGGATCTTTTTTAATTTTGTATCCATGGATCAGTGTAGTAAAAGTAATAACATCCGGAGGTATTAAATTCTCAATCATTTTTTTAAAATAATGTTCTGCAATTTTCATTTCACCTTTTTTTGAATACCTATCAATGATTGAAGTAAATAATTTTAATTCAAAAGCTTGATCTGGTATGAAGGTTTTTTCTAGCGATCTTGATGCTTTGTATTGTTCATACATTTCCCAAGTCTTTAATGGATCTTCTCCAGTATTTAACAAATTATTCAATTGTACATCATCATCATTATTGTTATTATTATTTCTACTGTTATTATGTTTTATTTTAGAATTATCTAAATAATTTATATTATGTGATGATGTTGATGTTGAAATATCATTGCTATCATTGCTATTACTATTATTATTACTATTCCCGATTTTATTAGGTTCTTTGAATATGATGGACATACATATAAATCTCTGTCTATTTAATCTATATAAATGTATATTGTTGATATTTTTTTTGTGACTCCCAAGTTGAAGAAGAAAACATTTAATATAATTTCCTGTCAAACAAGTATATCTAATTTTTAACATTTATCTAAAATAAATTAAAAAAAAATATTGAAGTGCCACACATTCCATTAATTTTTTGTAAAAAAAAAAAATAATCTACCAAAATGCTTAGCAAAGTTTCAGAGTTTCTATATCTCTTTGTTAATAATAATAGTAATAATAATAATAACAATTTTATAAACCAATCTTATTATTATTAGATTATCTATAGCTCTTTTGTCCAATGAAGCCAATAAACATAAATTTTTATCAAATCAATTATCAACACAACCATCAATTCCTACTTTGTCATGTATCGGTTTAGTTATTATTTTATTTCATCAAATAATTAGAAGATATTAAAAGAGTCACTATATGACTTTGCTCCTAACAAAGTAGATGAGCTTGGGTTTTTACATGACGATGTTATTTCAGTTATTGATAGTGTTTATAAATATTGATGGCATGGAAGAAGTACGTGGCAAGATAGGAATTTCCAGTGAATTATGTAGGTATTAAATAAATACATAAATATTATGTTTTATTTATTCATAATCCACAAGATTGAAATTTTGATTATGAAACATTGTCAGAACCAACGCCTGATGATATTGCAAAAGAAGCTAAAGCTGGAGTCAATATTCGCACAAGCTCAAAAATAGAAAATTTATTTGAAAGTATAAAAAAAATGAGTTACAAAAAGAAAATACAATGAAAGATGAAGAAATTCGGATTATATTGTTGTAAAATTTTTGATGTTTGATAATTTCCAAATTAATTACTAAACATTTTACAAATTGATTTAACAGAAACTATAGTTAGTTCTATGTTACAATTAGATCAAACTTATTGAAAAGTATAGTCAAATGAAAGGTAGGACCATGGCATATGAATATTTTAAATCAATGCTTTTCTTTTATATTTAGATCAATTGATCTCATTACATGGTGAGTTTGTTCGGTCTATCAAAGCTTATAAGAACCTTACGCAAGGGTCGATTTAAAAATATGATTATTCACAAATAAATTTATTACACATATATATAGATATGGGGGTTCTCTAGCAAAAGGTAGCTTTAAGTGCCCTCCTACTAAAATTTTTTTTGCATAATATAAGGATTATAATTGGTGAAAAAATGAGGCCAGTAAAAAAATGAGTGGTCTGGCAATAAGAGACGTGGTGGATATGACATAATTATTGGTTTTATAGTGTGATGGCCCCCTCAGGTTCAGTTTTTTTTAATAATAATAGTTTGGATTGATCTATATCAAGTTTGATTGGCTTTATATTAAAAAATTAAAAAATAATGACCCAAAAACAGATATTCCAAAAATAAGCAGACATTGAATCACAAAAGCTTGTAAAGGAGATATAAATATGGCCCTGAACATTATCATCCTATTATTGAAATTTAGCACCAAATCTTGATAATGATTAATTTTCTTCTAGTGACCTGAAAATTTTTATCATTATTTATGTCCTATTATTCCTTGTATCACTGACAATTGCGATGAGAAGACTAGATCAAAAGGAAGGGCAGATGGAGATGCACAATTAATGATGATGACATGATATGGTTGTGGTAGAAATATTATGCTAAGCTGATAGAATGTATTAGAAAGCATCTTGTCAGTATAACATCCTGTTGGTTATAATGTGCTGGGGAACGTCTGTCAGGAGACCCAATCAAATTAACAATCCTAAAAATATTGATTGTGATAAGGTATATGAACATTGGATAGGTCTTGCTGACAAAATGCTGATTCAAATTCTTCTACATTAATCCGTCCTAGATTAAAAGAACATTTAAAGGAGCATTTTTCACTAATATTAATACAATATTTTATTTAAATCATGAAATCAAATGTCCACTATGCTGGAATAAATAGAGTCGGGAAATTATAATAGTCCAATTTTGCAGCCTGTTTACAAAAAATTATATTATGACAAACACCTTTCACCTGTCCTTTTCATTGTTTGCCCGCTAATAATAAAAACGAGTAGTGGGATGGGTGGTAATGGCACAAAATTACCCGTCCTTTTCAAGATTTGCCCATGAAATAATAGAAAAGGACGGGGACGGGTTTCTACACCTTCACCACGCCACGCCTGTTCCATGTTAGTTAACCGTCCTTTTTTACATTATTTTGCAGAATATCCGTACCTTTTCTAGTATTAATGGGCCAAACTTGAAAAGGACGGGGACAGGCAGGTATGGCTTGAACCCATCCTTTGTTCTCTTCAAGCATCCCTCATTAATTAAATTTTGTATAATAATAACTTAAACTAGAGTTTTCCTTGAAAAGATAACGTCCTTATTTTTTGTTTTGGGACTATTGATTTGGGTTTTTGTAAACCTCATAGTGAAGCAAGAACCAAAAAAAGGGCCCAATTAAAAAATGTTATTACTGATGAAAAATATTGTAAATATTTATTGTTTGTTTTTAAACAAAAATAAAATTGTGTTTAACAATATGTTGTTGTGAATTAATGGTGAATTGGTGATTGTTCAAATACAAAGTACGATTATGTGTGTTTATTTACCTTGTTTTTGATTCCAATCAAGTAAAAACAAATATTTAGTATATTTTCAGCAAAGAGGTACTAATTCAGCCATATGATATTAATACATATTATTGTTAAAAATTTTGATCCCTGTAATTCTGAAACACAATGTTCACTTTGTCTGGTATGCCCAAATTATAATAATTTCTGATGAAAAAAAATTTTTTTTGCTCAAGTTTTGCTTAAAACTCCTAATGGTTTAGTTTTCGGTTTGATTAATGCTCTGAATGACCGATTATAATTTTGATATAATTTCTCATTTGGTTTTTTGGATCAGTTTTTTTCGAAGCACTAGAATTTTGTTGTAAATTATTAAAATGAAATTTTTTATTTATATGTATAAAATATAATAATATAAAATTTTTATTAATACAAGTTACTATAAATAAAAGTGTAATGAATGATAGACCCAAACAAAAGAGTAGTCTGAATTGAGTTACAACACCAATAATGTGTATTGTCTTGTGTATTGCACTTCATAGAACTTCCGCCAACAAACCATGTTCCAACACTCCAAGATAAGGATCAATCAGTCATTTAGAATGACTTCATGTTTAACAAATCAAGGAATGTATCATTTCTGGTTGTTTGTCCTCACTCTCGCGAGTGTCCCAGCTAGAGACTTTTAAATGGCTTTTCTCAGACCTTCCCAAGGGTTAAAATATTATCCTAATATATAGAATAAAGACAATAAAAGGAATAAAATTCCCACTGTCTGTATGTTTACCCTTAACACAAGCTTTTTGTTTGGGTCATCATAAAATAAAACAAATTGGCGAAGAAGAGGGAGAAGAGGGAGAGGAAGAGGAAATGGTGGATGATGATGATTATAACCTCTTGTTAATAATAACTTATAATGAAGTTATGAGATTTGCATCAATGAAAATGCATATCATCATTATTGTTAAAGACAAGAATTATTAATAATAAATCATTCTGTGTAATATGATTCTCGCTGCAATTCTATGTTTTTCTTCATTACTAAATTGAGCTTGCTCATATCTCTCAACATCTCAACGTAAGTATTTCCAAATGTATCATACTTTCAATGAAAAATCTATATACCTTTTTACTGAAATTGTTTTAGAGATGTGAAAGTTTTAATCTATACAAATAAAAACTTATATTTATAAGTTTATGCGAGTATGAACAATTTTTTTTAATTAAAATAATAATAATAATAATAATAATAACTTACGATTGATGTTTGTAAATAAATAAATAAAATAATAATAATATATATGTATTAATAAAAAATAATTATTATTAGCTATTAAGTTAATTTGTAATTAAACTATTCATAAATATTAATTAATTATTATAAAGAGGTAATTTAAAATCGTTTCAAAGTTGATAAATATAATTACCTTTAATAAGCATTCTTTGTTAATAAGTAATTAGATTTAGGTATACCAGTTGAAGCATTTCTTACAGTCAAAAAAAAAAAAACGATAAAATGTAATTAAGGAAAAATAACTACAAAATAAAATTATTAATTTTTTTACATAACCTTTATTTTATTTTTATGCCATCAATAAATAACCAGCAATGGAAGCTAAAGCTTGACTCTTTTTCATAATATGTAACGATATATCAACTGCACAATAGTAATGGTTTTGTAAACGAAATGTATTCATTGAAAATTTTTGTTTTAAGGTTACGATATCCCGTTGTCACACAATAAAATAAAAGATTCCATCTAGATTCTATCACATTATATGTGTTCAAAAGATTAAAAAGAAGAATTAATTTAAAGAACAAAATGCACGATACAATATAAATCAATTATTTTCCTTTGTCTCAATTACAACTGATGTAGAAGCTCCTATAAACAAAATATCTCCTGGCTCTAATCACCATCATTTATTGGGTGTGCGAAAATCAAAACTAATAATTGATTTTTTTTTGTGATCTGCATACCACATATAGAATTTCCGAATTTATTGTAAGGAACATAGTAAATACATTGCTTCCAAACTACTACTCCTCCTCCGTTTTCAAAGATATAGGTACCAAATTTGCATAAAAGGTAGTATATACATTATATTATAGAGTTATGAAAGATTTAATGTGTGTAAAATACCAACAGTGTAAAAAAAACACATTTGAAATACAGAAAATCTCTTTCTTATCGTAATACTTCTATCAACTTCCGAAAAAATTGTATGAAGTAAAGATTCTCCCTCCATAGCACTGTTCTAGAAACATTTCCGATTAAAAATACTAATAATTTTATAAGTGTGATGATTTTGATGTAATTTACATTACATGTGCGAAACCAAACATTTGTGATGCATTCGGGACAAAGTTCAACCAATTTTTTAGGTGAAAAGTATAATTAGTGACATTAACTTTATTTATAATATTTATAATAATTAAAGATTTAAATTTTAAATACTGAAAATCAAAACTTTACGATGCAAAATTAGTTTTAACATCCTCCTCTGTCTTGAAAAGATACCAGGCCGTTCCAATCGGTGTAAGCTGGCCACCAGGAAAATGAGCATGGTAGGAAGGTGGAATGCAAAAGGCATTGGGATGTAAAGTCTGATAGCTCGACGTACACTCGCCTGCCTGTTTATTAATAAATCCAATTTTTGTTTTTTTAAAAAAAGGAAATAAAATAAACCTGATAATGCAGATTCAATTGTTACTTTATTGTTGCGTTTTAATTCCAAAGCAACGTTTGGTTTATTGAGTGTATTTTCAATCTAATATCAATTATTAATAATGAATTAACATTTGTTTGTTTGTTCATAAATGCATCCTAGCTAATTGATTACCTGGTAAACATAATTTTCAAGTTCTTGTTTTGTCATCTTTTCAATTACAGTATAAGGCCAATGTTTAATATCTGCTTTAACTTCAGGATCATCAAAGTGACAACCAATTAAACAACATTTTGCATCAACAGTATTTTTTTGGATTCATTGCAGCCTGATCTTTAGCAGCATCACCAATAAGTCTTTCATTCTCAGTGAATGCAACATAAGATGTTGTATGATTTCCTTGTTCATTAGCAATGATTTATTATATTTTTTTAAATTAATTATACAGTATATATAGTAGTTCCTGATACTGAGACTTGCTTTTCTATATTACTATAAATTGGCAGGAAATGTCCTGTGACTGTTAATACACAGTTCCAGACCGTCCGCTGACAACATTTGATTGTTTGATGATTTTTCATTGGATGATCTTATTTGATTTTCGTGCTACTATAGTAACCAATGGTAGTATTTGTGTCATTTGATATTATTGTTTTTACAAACTTTATTATTAATTCATCCGTTTGGGTTTGCTAACTTTCCACACTTCCTTTTCTTGCTTAACGTGTAGTTGAAGATGGCTAATTGGCATCAATACTTTGAAAATACTGACTTAAATGACTGGAGCATCCTAGGTTTTCATCAAGCATGGATACATGAGCACCGAGAAGATCCAAAGAAGCCAATGTATCAAAAGGCAAATGATTATATAACAAAGAGTTTACAGTTGCTAATTAATAATTGTCAGGATGAAGAGAAGGCACAGAAAGCCGTGAAGCTCTTGTCAAACAAGGCAAGTACATTTTTAAATGATAGAATATGTGCACATCCTTTTTTTTTATTCAGATATTACAGAATGGTGCTAGTGACAAGATAAAGGTTTGCATATGACTTGCATTATGTCAATGGAAATACTTCTTGCTGTACCTTCAAGGCATATTGTTTATGTCTCCAGACAAGGTTGTACAACTTTTTGCTGTGCTTCTGAGACACCTTTTTGGTAGTTGTGGTTGGCTTAGCCAGGGTGTGAACCTTAATCAACAATAGTTGTCTATGCTAAGAGATATCAACTTTTCACTGATCCTCTGAATGCCTTTTTGGATGCTTGACAATACTAGTTGTCCATGCTAGGAAGAATCAACTTTTTGCTGGTCTTCTGAATGCCTTTTTGGATACATGGCTTGTCACAGTGCCTATATATTACATTGTTCTTCACCTATCTTTTTTCTCTATAAAAGGGTAAATGTAATGTTGGAAGTGAACTTGATGTCTTGTGTACACCTGTAGAATATCAGAATTGTCAAAAATTGGAACATGCAAAGTTGAATTGTGATCAGGTATATCTATGAGTCTTATTATTGTCCATGTAAATCAAGTACTTATCATAACTTTGAATCACCTTCACCAAGTTTGATAATGTCGCTAGTTACTCCTGCACATTAACTAGTGTTGCAGTGGCTAATTTAAGCAAAATTATACAAGAACTGACATTAGTGTTACCAAGAAAATGATCTTTTGACAGTCTCGAATCAGAAACGGTTAATTCAGTTTCAACAAGACAAGAAGCAAATAAAGGTCCTGATCCACAACCAAAGGGAGCAAGGACACCCCCACCAAGATCTTTGAATGAAGAGAGACTTCTTTCTACTCCAAACAAGTGAAATATGCATAACAAGGAGATTGTTCAGTGAGTTCATATAATTATGGTGAGCATCTGGCTTGAGCAAGTTAATTGATATTTTATCATATGTTAGCTATCTTGACACCATGGAAAATTCACTAAAGTATCATTGAGTTCCAAGTGATGCTCCACCTGTGTGGACAAAATCTCTAGAGTCTTATCTTGACAATGCTTTTAAGGTGAGTATTCACAGATATTAGTTACTGGCATGTTGGAAGCCAACAAATGTTTATATCTTTCTGTCAATTTTACAGAAAGGAGATGAATTTAAGATTGCTATAATGAAAAAATTAAACGGAGATGAAGGAAATTACTTTTGTTTGTATTGCGAAAAAGTTCTGATTGATTTGTGAATTTATTTTGCCATTATTGTTTTTAGCTAACTGGCACTAAATTTTGCTTCTTAACTCCAGCTACAATTTGATTGATATTTTTCCCGATATGTCAAGAAAAATTGGCGAACAAAAGTATATTATACAAAACAGGGTTGGCAAATGTGTGGTCCATTGATGGTCTATTGGTGGTCTATTGGGTCCATTGGCATAACACTTTAACCATATTTAGTATTTTATTAATGGCAATGGACCAGTCCAAAATCCAACTGTTCTCAATGGACCAGTCAATTTGCTAACCCTGATACAAAATATTTCTTCTATCTTTAAGTTTTATGAAACAATGTTTGGAAAAATATGCTTTGACTGGATAGAGTCGCATTCCCCCACAGGAAAATTAACAAAGTCAGCCACCAACTCTGGCATTATTAAGGTGGACATGAGAGGTAAGCAATAAATACTTATTTGTGATTTCACCATTAGGTTTCTCAATTAATCCAACCACTTCTGAAAGGAGTCTGGACATTGGATGATAAAGAAGTCTTTCATGTGGAAGTCTCAGGCCCACTTTCATTACCATCAAAACAACATTGTACGGATGATACTAAAAAATCCCTGCATATGGATATCCTAAATTTGATCAACATCTTACTCAACCATCTTGATCTATCCATTGAAATCACAACACGAATCCAAGTGTTCAGTTTTCAAGTTATTGGTAGGTATTTTCTATTTATTATAAATAATAATTCAATTTACTGATTCTATATTTACTTGGTTATTAGAATATCAAATTACGTTTTATTTATACATGCTGCCCAAATCCCAAACTATTTGGGATTGTGGCATCCCAAATGCACAAATTAAATTTGGGACAGCCTACTGAAAGATTCCCAAATCCCAAATGTAGATCAGTTTTCCTGCTCAACCAATAAGCACCCAGAATTTGTGAGTGTGATCTATGATCCCTTTATTATCCTGGATGCTTATTGGTCAGAAGAGCAAGTACAGGGATTTGATCTACATTTGGGATTTGTACATTTGGGATGCACAAATTAATTTGGGATTTGGGATTCTGAATTTTTAATTTGGGCGGCATCTATAGTTTTATTCCCTAAATATGTTGAAAGATGGATCCTTTCTTTCATTGGAATTATTTTCCACTTTATTTCCCTTCTCCTTCAATGCTAGAGCAAAGTACAAACAAATACTATTTCTCATGAGTATTTTTCACATAAGTAAAATTGTACATATTGCTTATCATTCTTTGGGTCACTAACAGTGTTTCTGTGATCTAAAAATTAATCATGAAGGAAAACATACTGTGTATTGCCTTAGAATAGATTTACAGTCATACATCCCCTTTTTTTTTTTTGAGATATAACTAAAATCCATATGATAATTTATTAAAAATTTATTACTTAATATTTATTTATTGTTTTATTTATTATTATTTATTATTTAATTTTGTAATTGAAGATTGATGTTTTTTTCTATCTGTAGATACATTTAAATATTTTATTATATTATTAATATATTTAATACCTTCCTAGTAGCAAAATCATTTTATTCTAAAAACTTTTTTGTGATCTCAATTGACTTTTTCCCATCTTTATGTGAGATTTTTGGTTCTTCTTCATCACTGGTATCTTCTTCTATTGATGTTTGTGACGGATCTGTAATACCTTCAGCAAAGAAGAATTCCTTCTAGGATATCATCATTGGTAGGTAATTCAGAAGTAGTTAAATTATCATCGATTTTAATATATCCTTCTACTTTCATTGTTATAGAAATACTAATGCTCAATGTTTTAAGAGATTATTCCAATCAGTAATAATAGTATCATCCATCATAATTTGTGGTGGTGTATTAGTCAATGGTAATATATTTGTATGTTTCCAACAATTTACAATAGTTTATTGTTTAACAGAATCCCAAGCATCCGAAAGCAAATCAATTGCTTCTTTTATATTTATTTTTTAATTTCTTTACCAACATCTAGATCCTGGATCATTTTTTGAATTAAAACATTCTTATAATTTGCTTTAAAATTTCTAATGATACCACATCACATGATTGGATATGTGATGTGGTATTAGGAGGAAGAAAAACTATCAAAGACCAAGTTGAGATCCATCTGATCTACAAATATGGGTGCATGATAATAGACAATGATTGATTAAAAAAAGTTTATTCTTGGGAATATACATTTTTTGTGTATTAAACTCTAATTAAATAAAAAACTATTATAATAGTTTTTTAATTAGAACCAACTAATACTCTTTCTGATGATAATAATTCGGGTTTTAACATAGTTAAATAGTATGTTATCTTTAAAATTTAATATAAATCTTGAAAACTTGAATAAAAGTTGCATTATTAAAAGGACAATTCTAACATCAAAAAAAAAAATTTCATTGATTCATCATCACCTTTAAAACTTACAAAAACCTCTCTTATGTACTATGTAAAAGACTAGCCTATGTATGTTTCAAACTCAGATACTAAAGTCAGTTCAAATGCGTTTTTATTTATTGTGTAATTTATTATTATGCATAGTTAGTTAACTTCAAAGTCAAAAAATGAAAAAAACACATCAATATTGATGTGCCTACATGTATTTTGAACTCAGGCACTAAAACACGCTTTTGTTTTATTAATAATATCACTGCAAAAATATCAAGTTAATACACTATATACCTGCCCATCTATGTGTGTATTTCAAATTCAGGCTAGTAATGTGATCCAACCTGGGGTCTGGTATAAGTGGAAATTAAATGGATAATTGAGGTTGGGAAAATAAATGAATAGGCGAGTTTAATAGTAAAATAGCCTTTGAAATGTTAATTCATTTATTTATTCAACCCAAGGATAATGAACTTCTATTTCATCAGATGGTTGATCTGGTGAAGTAGAGATTGCAATTGCAAAGCATAATAAAAATGTTATATAAAAGACCCAAATCCCCAAATAATATTTGAATCCAAAATTATTCCACTTGGAATCCAAGATTACTTTTCCATTTCAATATTTAATAAATTTGCTATTTGCTGGCTACAGAACAATTTTTTCCCAAATGAATATTCATTGCTGTAAGTAATCAATCCAGGATATGGAATTGTCAAATTTACACATGGTTTTTCAGATTTGTTATTTAATTTTTATTTATAAAATTCATAATTCTTTTATAATATTTTTTAATATAATTATACTTATAATAAAAATTCCAAAAGCCATTCTCTTTACAAACCAATTTTTCAATATCTAAAGCGTTATAAAAAGTTTCCTGATTATGAAAATTTTTCATAAATGGAAATAATATCATTGAAGTTTGACTAAAGAATTTTGATATTAAGTATGATGGATGATTTTTTTCTAATTTTTCTTTGTTGATTATTTTCTTTAATGTATGATTGATTATCTATAACTATGGTTATTTTACCATGTGGTAAAATTGGTCCAAATAGGATTTGTATTTTTAAGATGTTTATTAAAAATCACCAAGATTATAAGGATCCATTAATTTATAATTATTTTTTGTTTCATGATGATGATATATTACTAATAAACATTCTAATTGATTTTCATATCAATATTGCCTTTCAATCGAACTACAAAATAGAAAATGTATTTATTAAATTTATAGAATATTTATATGCAAACTCCATATCTTTGCCTACTGAAAAATTAAAAAAAAAATCAGTTTACATTTTTTTAAAAATTCCGTGCTGATTAGCATGGAATATAAAATTGTTCAATGAGTAAAATACAATATTGCAGTATTGATGCTGCTGCTCATTATAGTTATGATTGAGCCCAAAATGTTCATATACCACATTTAGATCAACAAGTAAAATTTATTATCTTAGTCCATCAAAAGTTCATTTATTGGTATTCAAGATGAAGCAGCAAGGGAACAAATTAATTATGTTCTTAATGAAGATGAAATTATAGGAAAAGGACCAATGGAACTCTTAGCATGATTTTTGATGGAATTAAAAGATTGAATAAAAGTGAAAAGTATTTAAAGATTACTTGTGATAACGCTGGAGGACAAAATAAAAATAATACTACCATTTGATTTTATTTATATTTAGTAATTTGTGGTTATTATGAAAGTATTGAGTTGAATTTCATGATTACAGGACATACTAAATTCAAATGTGATGGTAATTTTGGCATGATTAAAAAACTCTACAGAAGAACAAGAGTAGATTGTCTGGATCATGTGGTTGAGGTAATAAAAAAGTCTAGTCCAGTTGGGTTAAATAAAGTTCAATGTTATGAAGGTGGAAAATGTTTTCAATACTTAGATATTAAAGCTATTTTGGGAATTGATTTTAAGAAATTACCAAGTATACAGAAATATCAGCATTTTCTTTTTGAAGCATTTAATCTTGGTGTAGTTAAAGCTCAGGAGATTGCTAATGAACCTTTTACTGAATTCAATTTATTAAAAACCAAGAAAGCAGATATTTTCGAAGAGATTAAAGATTTATCTATTTTAGTGTTAACACCTCCTCCTTTAGATTACAAAAGGCAATTCATCCAGGTAAATTTGGTTTATTGGGGGAAATCTATTATAAGTGCCTCAGTTTAACAGGTTCAGTTTATCAAAGTTTGAGTTTAATTGTTATTTAATTTTGATAATCAACTGCTGTGACTAACCCCAATAAAGATGGCTTTTATATTTATAATTTTTCTATAGTAAGCCTGTTTTTGGGATGGTTTATCAATATATTTAATTTGAAGTTATAAAGCTAATAAAAAAATGTTGAAATTTGCTCAAAATTTTATTGTATGTGTGCTTGTATACTATTATAATCTTTTAAAATTTAATTTGAATAGTAAACAATTACTCTACTACAAATTTGTTTTATTATCAACTTTAAAAAAAATCAATATCTTGACATAGATATTAAAAAATCTTAAATTCATACCTTATTTAACCAATCAATAAGTTACAATTGTTAGGAGATGTCTTCAGAAACCACCAAATTTCTCATGTGTCCTATTGCTTTTACAATTTCAAATACACTTAAAATATTTGGATCAGTATTTGGTGTGATCACAATGTTTTCCAATGTAACCATGAATGTAGATAATTGTGGTTCGTACTAAAAAAAAAATTAATTAATAATTTATAAACTTTATTGTAAAATAGATAAATTTAGAAATTTTACCAATCGTCCAATCTCTTTGAATAATCCAAAAGCCCACCAGAACCATAGCTGTGATAAAGGATTTTGAATCCCTTGTTGTTTATAAAAATTTAGTTTTTTTTCAAGCAATGAAGCAAACATTTGAACCATTTTTATTAAAACTTCCTTTTGTTCTTTTTTCACAACATTTAAAGTATTTTCCAAATTATGTTTTTCATCACTATTTTCTCCAATTACTAAAAAAGTGTAATACAATAAATATACAGAGCAATCCATCATATTAAACCATTTGATGACAAATGATATAATTTATATTTTAAATACCTTCTGAAGTTATATCAATTCCTTGAATTTTACTATCATCAGCATGTGGATTTTGTAAAATTTCCAATTTTGCAGTTACCTGATTAACCCTTGAAATTACTTTATTAATGATATTTTTCATAATTTCCCATACATAGGATCTAAAAAAGTAAAGAAAAATTAATTTTATAAATCCATTGTTTTAATGGGAATATAATATGAAGACAATATGAATATAATATTTATTTATTCAACTTGCCTGGCAATGTCTTTTTCCATCTCATCTGCAAACAACCAGGATATTATGGAGATGGCATCAATTACTCGATAATTTAACAGTTTATCAAGTAATATCCCTAAAAACTAATTAATCATGAAATTAAATTAATTTTATATTTTTATGTAAAATAAAAAATCTTCAAATATTACCTGTGTATTATTAGCCCAGAAATCTGCAACTATTTTAACAGTGTGCAATTTTGCTTCAAAAGTTTCATTCAATGATTGTAAAATTGTCAAGTACCTATTGATATCAAGATGATAATTAAAAATTATTATATAAAGATATAAAGATGTAATGGATATATAGATAGATTATTTACCTTTCAATAACATTTAAAACATGGCTAAAGCTTTTACTTCCCAACATCAAAACACATTGTATGAATAAATCACGTATTTTGGTATCTTGATCTAATTCTAATGATGGAAAATCTTTATGCAATTCCTCTAAAAAATTTAAAACCTCACTATTAGAAGATTTTGTTCGGAGTTTACTTATTAAATTTGTAGCTGCAGTATGTAAAGGATCCTCTACAAAAATAATCAAAATAAAGGTTAAGAACAAGATATATATGTGAGTATGTTATTTATTCAATTAAAAAAAAAATACCAGGATTTTCATAACGAAAATTTGTTGATGGTTCTGATTTTGGAAATATCACCATAAGTTCTTCTGGAATAGTAGAACTTATTCTTTCATAATAACTATATCTTATGGTTTTTTCTAATGTTTCACGCATAAAACATACTTTTGGATGTAACGGGTCTAACATTAAATTATTTTCCCTGGTATCAAAAAGTGATGGATTTTTATTAAACATATTATTTAAGCAATAAAAAAACAAACAATGAAATAAAATTTTCAAATACATACCAATCTTTCCAATTCCATAAGAACCCAAAATTACTCAAATGATGTGCAAACCAATTCCAAAATCTATAACAACATTCAACATCCATGATATCAAGACGCCTAAATAAAATTCCTATTGCTTTTCCAAGGTAAACAATTGCCATTAAAATAATAATAAAAAAGTCAAGAATAAACTATCTTATAATTTTATGAGTTTACAATTGCATCATTTTTTTTTTCAAAAAAAATTTATTATTACAATAATAATAATAAATAATGGTTTCAAACAATCAACAGAAAATAAGGATATCACAGGTGGAAACGATTCATGCATACTTTTGCATATTTCAGTCAAAAGTGAATGATAATATATATATTTAAACTTTGGTTGTGGTAACCTAAAAATTTCAGAAAATATATTCTAAAAAATTCCAAACAAATATAATTTTATTACCTTGAGTAAAATTTATTAATTGATTATGAAATATTATCCTTGAAAACACTCACCTCAACAATCATTTGTTCTAGTTGGAAGCACTTTATATTTTTGTTTAAATTAGAAACATTAGCAGTTGTGTCATTTTCCAAAATTTTTTGAGCAGTATCTTCTGTCCCTATTTTAATTTCAGTGCTATCTTCTGAATTTTTTTTGTGAGTAGTATCTTTATTAATAAATGTACCAGGTGCAAAGCTATATGCAATATCTTTTAGATATTTGGTGCATTCTTTACGATTTATTTCAAAAATATCTATGATATCGCCAATAAGATCACAAATTAGAAAGTATGAAATATCTGTGATATCAAGATGTTCATTCTTCGTCTGTTATAAAGATTTTTAAATACAGTAAATTAGGCTTTTAGATTTTGCATGATACAATTAAATTATTCCTATTTAACAACAATACCTCATCATCCAATTCATCAAAAATTCTAAATAAAGGAACAACTAAAGTAGTGTATGCAGATTGCGGGAGTTCACAAACCATAAACTTATCAACTTCATGCTTATAAATATAAATTAAAAATTTTAAAAATTTTATATCTAAATTATAAAAGTGAATAATGATAATCAATAAATTCAAATATGTACTTGATCTGCTGTGACCAGAACGTGATCATAATCTGAATATGGTTTCAAAAGGATTGGGCACTAATAATATAAAATAAATTAATTAAATGGTTATTCTCAATTAAATAACTAAATAATATTAAGCACTCACTTTCCAATTGCTATTTTTGAATTTTTGAATTTGAGTCCAAAGTAATTCTAAGGTCTTTGATTTAAAAATGTTTTTTGTTTAGTAAAATAAGTATATAAATGAATGTGTGTCCAAATTCAATTGTTTGTAAAAAAGGGAAAAAAAAGATTTTGATTTAATAGATTAATAATTAAGATCAATTTCTGATAGTATGTTAAAAAGTTTATAAAATGGATCACAAAAAAAAAGTGTGTATATGTGCATGTGTATGTGTGTGTATGTGTATGTGTATGTATGTGTATGTGATTTTGGAATGATATGTATAATACCAGCAAGGATTACTAACAAATTGTTGAAATGAAAAATAATTAAAAATAAATATACTAACATCAACTTGTTCATAAGGGATATTGGAGCCAACATATGGTCTAACAGAATTTAGAACCAATAAACCATCAATTTCTTTGATTGCTCGATCCCTTGCATAAAAGTATCTTTCAATTTTAGATAAAATGCCCTCCAGTATATCTGGACTTCGATCATGTAGTCGAGTGGCTACCTGAATGATACAATTACACAAGAAAGTTGATTTTAATTATAAACCTTTTAATATGATTAATTTTCTGCTTTATTATGAAATAACTTACATAAGGTAATGTTGAAAGAACAATTCGTACTATTGCATCCGCATGATACTAAATTAAGATAAATTAATTAAAGGTTCATTCAAATAACAAACAAAATAATGAAATTCTGATAATACCATTTTAACATTAGGTTCATCTAAAGTTGTCAATAAATCATCATAAATATCTAACATTGTTCTGGGCAAGATTACATTTGAATTTGTCAATTCTGCAAAAAATTTAAGCTATATATGTGTGTGTGGGTGTTTATCAATATAAACATCAAGCTTTTGAAAATGTTCAATCAAAATGTCATTACATACAGATAATTTTGCACCACGCCAATTGCCTTCATTTAAGCATTGTTGCAAACTTTGAGAAGTCATTTTTACTATAGCTGCACCTATATCTGATCTAGCTACATTCAAAAGACCAATAAGAGTTCCATAAACAAATGTTTTCGTTGGTAATTCCATAAAACTATTATTTGAATTGTTAATTATTAAAAATTATTCTTTTTAAAAAATAAATAAATAATATATAATATGAATCAAATAATTTATTTTACTAACCAATTCTTTATCGCTTTCAATATATTAATTTCATATTTTGCATATTCAGTTTGAATTAGGTTTGAAACTATTCCAATATTTGAATGAATTTCTTGAGGTGACATCTAATAATAATTTTTTTAGTCTTATATTATAACCAAGCTTATTCATTATAATATATTTATTCATTTCACCTTGTCTCCTAAAATTATTAGAAGTTTTGTTAATCTTTTATCGGGAGTGTCCTTCTCATAATAGTTAATTTTATTAATTAATTTAGGCATTTTTTAAAGTAAATGTGATAGCGAAGAGTAAAAAGATCAAAATAAATTCCCTTGATTGGCCAATTGTTGATCATTACAATTATTGTAGATCTTTATAATATGTTAAATATACAAAAACGGGTTTCTTTGTATAGTATAGAGACCTCCTGAAATTTTAATAGTATATATGGAACTCAAGAACTACTTTATATTTTAAAATTTGACTTGGTAATATAATATGTATCTCTAGCTTTAATGTAACCAAGAACTTTCTCAAAAAATTTATTTGTCTATTCCTTTTAGTACTCTTAGTGCTATGAGCATGCAATCTGAGTTTGATTAATTAACATGATTCACTTACAAAGGTAACCCACTAGCTCTTCTAGTGACTCTAATTATGCTGGTCCAGGTCCTTGGTACCAAGATAATTGGAGTAATTGGAGATTTCTACACTATATTATTACTGGCACACAGCCTAATATAATGACCTGTTATATTGTTACAGGCACACAGCCACAATATAATCCAAGGCTTTTCCACTAACATATGTTATTACTAGCACACAGTCTAATATATATCCCTCAAACTTAGCACACAGCTAGCTATCAATCACTGAACAATTACAAACCTATATACAACTATGCTATTCAAGGCATTCCTACAAGCAACACAGTACAATCAAAAGAGTTCTTAACTAATCATTAAAAATTGGTCAGCCCTAACCATCAGAAGGATCATGGAACAATTCATGAGGGCTCTTCCTCTTTAACTATGCAAAAATTTGTAATAAGGTAAAATGTGTTTATTTAATCAAAGGTTATTATTAAAATCAGTATTATTATTATTAATTGTTAATTCAAAGATTTAATTGATGACGAATGAGGGAGATGTTAATTATTTTTATAGCAATTTGTGAGGGAAATTTCATATGGATGAAAAATCTACAGGTGCTACAAAGCAAAGTTTTTTATTTTCTGATTAAAAATAAAAAAATGTATCAATATATTCTTTGATGTTTATTCCATCTTATAAATAAAATAGAGGAATATAAATTTGGGGCACAAAAGCATAGTGCTATTTTCTTGTAGAAAATCATAAAGTAAAATTTTTTAATAGTAAAATCAGCACTTCTAGATTTTTTTGCCAATCATTTGATAAATCTCCCTTGTTTTTTACTATCATCAATTAAATATTTCTTGGAGTATTACAGATAATGTGATTTGTGCTATTCTACTATCCAATAAAATATGCTTATTAATTATAAATTGTGACAAATACATTGTAACATCTATCTAGATAAATAAACAGGAGAGACCGTTCTGGGAACACAAAATTTTAACCCATGCTATTTGTTGATTGACCAATTAAAATCACGAATTTGATAAACGTAGAAATAAATATGGGTTTGATTCATTTTGTCAACA